TTCTTGCTTTTCTTTCCTAGTTTACTTGTAAGATTCAAGGAGGGGATGTAGCTCGCACCTCTCCCTGGGATGTTGTATGAACTCACTCTAAATCTGCTTCTGAATTAATAAATTTATTATCATTCATAAAAAAAAAAAAATTGACTCTCAGAGTAGGGAGTCTGGTATGCTTTTCATGGTGGACATGGAGAAAACCTATATGTTGAACAGACTAAACTTTGGACTCAGGTGGAGGAACTGGATGCTTTCAAGAGCAGCTTTCCTTTTGCAAGGCATCACAGGATCATATGGTGTATTTGAGTTTCATTTTAAACTGGTTTGAGGCAGTCTCAGGGCTAAAATAATAACATGCCTAAACTTAATTACTGGCTTCCCTATCAAAAAAAAGAAACGAAAAACCTAAATTACTGGTTGTGGGTGAGGAAGTTATTGCAGATAGAAGGCTAGCTGGTTGAAACAAGGTTCTAAATATCGATACAGGCCGATATGCTTTTTTTTATGTTTTATTTATTTTTTTTCAAAACCGGTTCAGAGGGGTCGGTTTAAGTCCTGGCTACCCTCTGAACAATGGCCTGACCCAATACACCCCCTATAGGGGCATATCAAGAAGGCCCTGATACGATACATATCAGCTAATACGGGCCGATACATAACGATATTTTGAACCTTGGGTTGAAAGGCCAAACATTTATCAAAAGGGTGAAAGTTAACCTTGATTAGGATCTAACCTATTAACCAATTAATGCATTCACTATTTTCCCTCTACCAGCTGGTGTAGCAGATATTTTGTAGGACCCTCACATGGACTTTTTTGGGCTTGCCTCAAGGGATTTGGTTTGAGGGTTCCCCAGCCACTGCTTGAAAAAACACAAAACTAAGCTGAAGCCCATGCCTGGGCTAAGGTACAAGGCACACAGGCACACACCTTTTCACAGGGGCTACACCTAGGTTTAGGCAAGGTGTATACCTTGAAAGCTGCCCTGTCTGTGCTCTTAGCAGTGCCTTTTAAATCACCGAGCACATGTTGAAGGAGCTTTACCCATCTTTATTCAAGGTAGCTCAATAAAGAGGCTCTGGTTGCTCGTATATTTGTTTATCAAAGGGAACCAGTGGTGTGGAACCCAACCATTAGGAGAACCCTAAATGATTGTGAGGTAGAAACTTACATGGACCTTAAGTAGAAAATTGGCTTAATTAACCCAAGCAGGAGAGGTGCTATATAGGTGGGTTTGGGTGTGGAGCAGAGATGGGACTTCTTAGTGAACTCGTTTGATAAAAGCTAGCTTTGATGAAGTCCATTTCTCTTGGGCTAAGTGTAGCATACCATGCTTAACTCACAGCCCATACTTGCAGTCTACACTCAAGAAACCCAAGCCAGCCCATTTTAGTAGCCTTGGCCAGCTCAATTGGAGTCTGTAATTGATAAAGATTGAGAAACTCTTTAAGATTTCAATTTCTTTCCTTTGTTAGCAAGTATTTCCTTGTTCAGTTACATTTGTTAAGAAGATAGCTATACTGTAGATCCCAAATAGATTTGATGTTAATCTATATATGTCATTGTGAAGACTCTTTTTCAGAACTATTGAATAAATGATACTTGAGTTGCCTTTTTCAGACAAAATCATCCTTGTTACATGATGAAGACTCAAAGACATTATAAGGCCTAACCTCAGCCATCACATCTATAGAGTTTTCCACCAACATCAAAGAGGATGAGGATAGACCACCATTTGTGTCTATCAATCACCCAACTAAATTCGAACTCACGTGAGTATTTAGAATACCAAATGAAACATCCCCAATGGGCCTAGACATGTTAGATGGTCCACACTTCTCATTACAAAACTTCAAACCAGAATCTCTCCTACTAGGCCTAATTGTCGGCCCACCCAGTTGATCAACTAAACCCCCAATGGGTTTAGCCAATAAGCCATCCCAGAAAATTTAACCACCAAGCCCCATTCTCTACTCTTCACCTCTTTAAGCTTTAAATTCCTTTCCCATGCATTCTTCAAAACACCTGCCGAACTCAGCATCATTAATAATTCCTATTCCCGAGTTGCCCTTATCTTGAACCTCCACCCGCGTGACCTTTCAACTCCCCACTACCCCCTTCTTGACTGCTCGCTTCTCAAATTCGGCCAAGCACCTCCAACAAGAACTCCTTGAGCCATCGCAGGGGAAGACATCCCTCTATCACTAGTCTTAAGTCAAACCACTCACTAATGAAAGTCAATGCCAAAGACAATGGGACCAAGTGGATCACCTCAACTTCTAACAAAATTCGCACCAGTATGAGGTTCTTCCATCTCTTTCTGCAGAGATTGACTTTCCTGAAAATCCCACACGCATCCCCCACAGCACAAAATGTATCCAAGCTCCATGCATGGAGAGGAATACCAAAAACATTAATCCACACAAGACTTCGAAGACCCACAAATTGCTCCAACTAAAGGATTCCATTTTCTGACTTGTATACTTTTCTTCGAATGCCATTCCACACGAACCCACTTCAAGACATCCTCTTCCCCAGGCTTAGAAACAGCCTACTATAAACATGAACCTAACAACATTGCCGTCTGTCTCCAAAAACCTCTCTAGGCTTCTACTGGCTTTTTGTTTCACTTAACATCTTAACCATCCTATAGGGCCTTGCTTGAAACCCCTTTTAAAAATTTACTGGTTCTATTTTAACTTGTTTTAGCCGGCCGCTTAAACTCTGAAGTTCTGTCCTACCACTTTTATTGGGTAAACATAAGCTAAATCAAAGTGACAAGCTCAGGCTTTCTGGCCTGACTCCAGCTTGCTTAGGCCCTTTTCATCCACCTAATTAGTTGCTTTTTGGGTGGGTTCTGCATCATCCAGAAAATCCATGAGGGCCAATAACTCATAGGCATCTATGAAAAAAACACTTATAAAAACAGCCATCACCCATTTGGTCCCAGTTACCTGGGGTGTTGGGAGGGCCAATAACATATCATTCACAAAATTGATAAGGAAATAGACAATGACTTCAAATCACCACAGATTTAAAAAAATGCATCCCTATTTCTTTTAGAGTGAATTATATAAATCCCAATCATCAGATTGATATTTGCTTTCGATTAAAGGGAAATAAGTTGGAAAAATAGATGCATGTTCAATAAACTGGAGGTGGGGAAGGGAATGGTAAAGGTAAGGTCCATTATGCCCCCACTGAAGCCTTTAAAGCAGCTACTATTTTTTATCAGTAACAAAAACATTTCATTGATTAGATTTTACAAAAGTATAAAATTTTGAAGAAAACCCAACAAAAGAGATAGATAGCCCAATGGAGCAAAGCACCAGCTACCTCCCCCAAAGAATACATTACAATTCAGCCCAGAAAACTCTAAAACAACCATAAGCATTGTTGAAACTTGAAAGTTAGCTTGCTCAGTTATTGTCAAAAAAGCGTTAACATGCTCAGCCTCAACTACTGCCAATCTGAAGACCGAAAGACAGAAGTGGATCTTGTCTCAAACCCTAAAAACCATAAGTATTGTTTCATTCAAAAATTTAATTTCCAAATTCCACTTTTTTTACCTATAAAATAACATAAGCATCTGAGTTCTATCCACTTATGATAATAAGTTCTTAAGATGGCCAATAACATCCAAAGCTATGATAGCCAAGATACCTGCACACGCCTGGTGCACTTGGACAAATATGACAACTAGTGGGCTATTTGAATAAAATGATGAAAGAACAAACTATCTGTGAATAGTAATTATCCCATATTCAGTTTCAGCCATTAAGGAACTCACAACCTCCTCAATAGCTTATTCACTGTGTGGACATTTTGTAGTGTTAGCACTTCTAAGTATGGAAAATGGTATATTTAAAACATACCATACCATAGAAAAATCTGTATACCTTATAAGCTTAATAAATTTTGGCAAGACATAAGTAATGGGAACTGATGCTTCACTTCAAAAATTTGATGAGATACTTCCATACTGGAACCTGTATCAGTCTTGGATCTCAGAGAATGACAGATAATGTCTTATTTCCCATATTTGTATCCATATCGGGGAATTTTAGATTGGAAATATCAACTAAGCTTTATTCCAATTATTTTATCTGTTAAATGAATACTGCTCTATCGTTGCAGCACATGAGGCTATCTCTAAAGAAAATAAAACAACTCCCTAGAAATAAACTATCTTGGCACATTGTATATGATATACCTTATAATTTTCTGGACCAACATAACAATACCCAGTAGACTTAAAGATCCTTGAGAATCACCTTTTCTATCAAAAAGACAGCCTCATGTATGTATAGTCCAAAACAATTCATAGGCCAGGTATATCTTTTATTTCCCAGATTGATTAGGCCAATTATGTAGGCGAGGCTAGGCGACAGGGAGGGTGCCTTGTCGCCTAGGAATGCGCCTTGTAGCCTAGTCACGTAGGCAATGGATGTTTGAAAATAAAAAAACATATATCCTAGGGTGGTTCCCTAGGTTCCATAGCCATATTTCCTTGATAATTATCCATACTTTTCATAAGAAAATTATAAACTTCACATAAAGTATAGAAAATCAACATATTCATGATAAGAAAAGGAAGAAGAAAAGAAATTTAAGAAAAAATATTGGGGCTGAACCCCTATTTTTTATAGGAAAAGAATAAAAGAAAAAGGTGGAAGAAGAAAAAGAAAAAGAAGAAGAAGAAGATGTGGAAGAAGAAAATGTGTTGATTAGAGATAATTTTAAGTTCTTCCTTACTTATTGGTTCAGGTTTTGAAGTCTTTGAGGGTTCAATACCGAAGTTAGCAATGTCTATGTTGATTAAACCCTAACAAATAAGAAAATAATAAAAAGAAATTAGTAATATAACCACACAAAATGAATATTTTAGTTTAATAATGTCTATTTTATAATTATAATCTCAAAAAATAAGAATATAAAAGTATTTTATAACACAATATACAAAACTGCTTGGCAATTAGGCGAGGCAAGCCTCCAAGGGTGCATTGTCGCCTAGGCGTTGCCTTGGCAACTATTGTAACAATACACATGAAGCATGCAAGATACAAGCAAAAACATATTGTTCTTTTAAACAAGGAAAATACACTGTATCTCAGTGGCAAAGCACTCATAATAAACAAAGAGTATTGGAATGTTATGCTGGTTTATCAGAGAATTACCAAACTGATCAGCTTCTTTCAATTTCTCCTTAATTTGCTTAGTCAACTCAAGAACCTCAGGTGACTGCAGTTTCAAAAGAGTGATTTAAATTTCCACCTGAAAAATAATAAATGCAATGATAGCTAAAAGCTATGACCTGACAAACAAGTACCTGTGTAACCTCAGAGACAGATATAGCAATGGCAGCTTTGGCATCTTCATCCTCCAGACGCTTAAGAGCTCTTGTAATTTTCCTATCACACTCAACAATAAGCCTATCTATGACATCTTCCAGGTCCCTGTCATAATTATCATTGCCTTTTGCTTTGGCTTCCTCATATCTATAAAGAATTAAGGATGGATGCCATAATGACTACCAAAACAAACCCTAGGTGAGAGGGCATAATTCTAAAATTGGCCATATCTTGTAATGTTTGTTAAGACATGCATTAGAAAAGAAACAAAGTTCACATGTAACTGGGGAAAAAAGAAATATGTCCTCACATATTTGGACATATGTTGTAATATTGTACAATGCCAGAAATGTAGAAATGAAAGTAAAAAAGTTAATGTCAACCTGATGAGAAGGTATAAATACATATTCAAAGAAAATTGTAGAACAACTATTTAACAAGTTCATCAAAAAGCAAGTAGTGCAGGCTATAGTCTACAAGGAGGACATGGATGAAAAGAAACACCATTGCAAGACCATTTTCTAATACTGGAAAAAACTTAAGATGAATAAATGAAACTCACCAAACTGAATAATTAAAAGTCACTAGATATGATCCAAGTAAGATAAACAAGCTGAAGAGTTTTCTAGCATCTGAATTTGAAACTAAGGATCTAGGAAAACCTTATTGCTTCTTGGGTTTTGAGGCGGCAAGGTCAAGAAGTATATTTGTGTCACAAAGTACACAATAGATCTGTTGAAAGAAACATGGAAGCTAGGGGCAAAACCCCTAAAGATTTGTTCCAAAGCCCGGTGGGGAAACTTCTCTTCTTATGCTGACTAAACATAATATTGCATTATTGCATATGTTGTACGGGTAATCATCCTGTACATAAACTAACCAAGAAAACTACATCTAGAAGCTACAAAAAGAACTTTGGGTTACTTCATAGAAATCCTAAGAAAGGGATTTTGTATGTCAACCACAGTGACATACAGTTGGAAGCATTTGGTAATGTTGATTCTGCTAGCTTTTTATTGACGAATGAAGATCTACCTCTAGCAAGTGTACCTTTATTGGAGGTAATCTTGTGTCATGGAGGAGTAAAAAGCAGTGTTTAGAAAACCGGAAACCTCTTTAATCATGTTAATTAATGAATAGGGTTCAAGCCTTGATAGCTTGGAGGGACTATTTAAAGAAAATGTAAATTAAAAGGCTTGAACCCTAGTCATTTGTTAATTAATGACTCTATTTGGGAGTGGTTTTCTTCTCTTTTTGATTGCAGATGGCTCCTCTTGATAGCTTGGAGGGACTATTTAGCTCCTCTGTTTTTTGTGCTCAAAAAGAAGAGGCAGGATTTTGGGGAGAAGCACTAGAGCAACGGTGGTTTGGACACTTTGGGAAGAAAGGAATCTAAGAATCTTTGAAGACAGGGAAAGATGTAAGGAAGCTGTGATAGAAGTAATAACTTTAAGGGTGGCTCATTGGGTGAAAACTTTAAAGCTCTTTGCAGATTTTAAAGTTGATAACTTTTTCAATTCATGGGGTTCAATTGCTGTTTCATCCTCCAGAAAACAAAGAATTATAGAGGCCTGGTCACCCCCATGTGCTGGGTGGAAGAAATTGAATTTTGATAGTAGCCGTATGGGCAATCCTAGCCCATCGGGTATTGGTGGGGTAATTAGAGAAGAAATGGAAACATCCTAGCATTGTATTCAGGTCCTATTCAGCATGGTGATGTGGTGAGATCAGAACTAATGGCAGCAGTTCATGGGGTGGAGAAGGCTAAAGAAATGGGGATTGAGAGACTAATCATGAAGGGGATTCAAAAATAGTTGTGGGCTGGCTGAAAAAGGAGGAAGGGGTAATTTGGCAGCTAAGGAATGAGTTCAGGCGCTTCAAACAGCTATCTAGAGATATGCTCATCCAAATAAGGTGGCTTAGAAGATCTGCAAACAGCATGGCAGATGGCCTAGCTAAACAAGGAATTCAGAGACAACCCATGTTTTGGGCTCATGTGAAAATTTGGGCTGGCTTTTTGGGTTTGCTGTTTTTTTTACAACCTCTAGTTGTATCTTTCTATTCTAAATTAATGAATAAATTATTCTGTTGCTGATAAAAAAAATGATGATCTAACCCACTAAGCCAACAAAGTTTTATTTCTTTCAGAATTTAGATTTTAATATTGTTATATATTAAGTAATTCTAAATCTTTGCTTCATAGGTGGCACTTTGCTTGATTCAGGGCTTCAGGCACACTCCTCACACCTCAAGTTCTAGAAACCTCCTTGTCTTTTAGTTGCCCTTGTTAAATATTGATTGGGGCCTCTATAGGAGTCAAATAAAGATGTTCAAAGAGGTAGGGAAAATACCAATGTATTTAAAAAAGACATAAAAAAAGATCAAGTTAGTTCCAACTAAGAATAACTGTCATGATCAAGTAACATCAAATGTCATAGTTTCAAATAAAAGAGCAGATTAGCCTCAATGTTACAAGAAAGAGAAGCATCATACTGCCAAAAGGAAACATAAGAAACAGCACCTTAAGCAAGCTTGGGTTTCAAAGGCACAAAATCAAGTGGTACATAATACCACTAACTAGAGCACGTTTTTCTCTAACCTTGGGATTAATGCAACCTATGACCCAGAAAAAACAGCAACAGAGGGAGTCATGTTCTACCATGTCAGTCTATGTAGACACAAAATGCACCAAATAAAAGTTCTAGTAAAGCATGGAAATCTGTGGATCTTGTACACAAGAAAAGTTCTAGTAGAACATAGAAATCTGTGGGTAAAAGAGTAAAGGTAAAGGAGTCAAATTTCTTAATGCAACAGGACTTTTGGAAATTTAAGATTGGTTAGAGACTTACAGGACTTTTTTTTTTGAAATGACTTACAGGACTTTTGAGAGACTGTTTTGAATTAAGAAGATAGCTTAGGAGTTAGGAAGTCTGAAAAGTCCTTTAGGGACTTTAAAATATAGTTCAGTCTTAGAGTTTATAGGAGCCTGGTTCAAGTTAGGCAATAAGGACTAGGAACAAGCATTTTAGCTTAGGTTGATAAAAAATAATCTCTGTAGCTTTATAATAGGGTTAATTGGGGTTAGCTAATGGACAGGTTTCGAGTCTTCTTCTCTGCTTTCTGGTTTTGCCTAAGGCAATACCCTATGACTCCTGTTGTTATATGAGGTTTAGTTGGACATAAGCTTATAAGAAGTTCTATTTATGGAGTTTGTAACCCTCTAATCAATGTCTCTCCTATTTCTCTTAATTAAACTTTGTTTTATATGTTTTTTGTAAGCTATATGTCTATCATTTTCATCTAGCAATCTGAGTCCTGCAGTCCCATGTCTGCATCGAGTGGTTAATCCAATCGTATGTAGTTTGGCTAAGGCAAGGGTTGGAAGGATCAATATTCATAACTCATACAAGAGCTCATATATTGTGGAACTTTGTACATAGTGTTGTCTATCATATTTTGTTTGTAATTGTGGCAGGGAAACAGGGAACTCCCTCTCTAGTTTGTATAAAATCACCTTGCTTGTATCTGTCTTCTTTCTTGTCTACTGGAAAGAATCTAAATGTATTAAATTTACTATTTGTCAAGATTTTTCTACCCTTGCTTCCACTTCAGATCCGAAACCTCACTCCAGCTAACTTGAATACAGAAAATTAACTCACACTTTTGACTTTCCTTCCCCACCTTCTAATCCTACTTTGAGCAACTTAGATACATATAGACTTTCCCATTGTCATTTTCTCAAAAAAGGACCAGTGAATAGCCTTGTCTCCTGAAGGGCCATAACAACAGCCTTGTTTTTTGGTAGACCATAAATGTTAATATGTTTGGCCATAGGCCCATAGTGTGCATCATATGAATACATACCGGTTATTTTAAACAAATAGCAATCACAGATAACCATAATGAGGTATGACTAGAAAGGATACTCTTTTCTCAGCTGCAATGAGTGCACCTTTGGACATGGCCCCATATCCATTTTCTGGTACAAATCAATAAAAAATGGTAGATCAGTACAGAAACTGTAAACATGGAAAGAAATTACATTCTCAGACCAAAAAATGCCATGATTCCAATGTACAACAGCAAGAATAGAAGCTGTCCAATAGCAGACTTCGGGCTAGTACTCAATGGCTTAAGCATGGTATGATAAAGATTCTTTTTTGTTAAGTGTATTAAATGATAAAGATCACAGATTACTATTCCAATGGTCTGCGGGATACATATACACTTTGACTAATAAAATTAACTTGGCAGTATCAAAGTTGAACGGTTCCAATGGGAAGTCCAGCCAAAGACATTATGATGACACAGACCTAGTGTGAGTTTAAGTTACCCGTTTATAGCAAAAAGGAAATAAGATTGGAACAAAGTAACATTGAGGAACTAAAATTCGATTCCAATTAATAGAGCACCACAATAGTAAATATCTCAGAGTTCATAACATGAAACATAACTTGAAAATTATGAAATAACAGTTGAAACGCTGAAAGACTATATGCAAAATTCAGTAAAAAATAGCACTTCTACATAATCATCTCTCTCGGGATATCAAGCTCAGAAGAAGCTAAAGGGAGAGACCTTAATGGGATTCTTGCAACAATTAACAAAACAAAAAGTAAAATACAATGAGTCGGATTCCATCCGCACTAAGAATTATGAAGAACGCTTCTATAACAAAATTATGCAAGAACAGGAGCAGCTAATCGCCTCGAACAGTTGCAAAGCATCAACAAGTAACAAAAAATAATATAAGGTAAATAAAATAACAAAAGGAAAAAATTACTGCTAGGGTTTAGAAACATGTACCGTTAACTGGAACAGCTCGTGAGGGCAAAGCCCAGCCAAGAATAGGCGACAGACGTCTCGGTCGTAGTACTTGCGATTCACCTCCCTCACATCACCATTTCTGTTCGCTCCCATTAACACGTCGAGCTGCTTACGTATAGCATCCATTTTTAGGGTTAGGGCTTCCTTTTCCTCCTTTCTGCCACCGTAAACAAGTACGTGGATGGAAAGAGTTTCCTTCAGGGCGCTGGTTCCGAAAGTAGGGTTCGTCCGACCATATCAAAGTATTAGGGCGAGAAGGGGTAAAATACGGCAGACGAAGCATAAAAGACCCTCGCCATTTGGTGAATTAACAACTTTGCCCATCTCATGATCTGATCTAATCTCCTAACAGTAAATGCCACCAATGGTAGCAGCCAAAATTGAATATTTGAACGTCAGTGTTAACGGTTAGTGGCACAAAGCAGTTTGGACATTGGACAATCTACGGGATCCCAAAATCAGGGACGGTCAGGATTGACTACAATGGGTTCCCTTGCTTACTTCAAGTTTTCCATTGCCATCTAGTAATTGTAATAAAAGGAAGGGGTATTTAAGTAATTAAACACAACTTCAGTTTTATACCCGAGATGAAGACATCTGGAATAGTGGTATCAGAGGACATCATCGTCTCCCTACTCCTATGTTCCCATCTTGCAGAAGTCAGAATTGAGCAAAATAAGAGCTCGAATTGGTTCATCCACAAAGGTATGAGAGACCCTTGAAACTTTTATTTGTTCAATTCCTTTGATCCTAGAAATCTAACTTGAGTTCTTTTTTTTTTCAAATCACGCCAGGAACGCTCGGCTTATCGTTTTGTTTGTTCAATCAATTGATATTTCGCATTATCTGCGGGAGGAAATTGTAATTTGGTTGGGTCTTTCTTCACGGTTTCTTATCATTGAAATGGTGAAACGTGTGCAAGTTTAGATCAATCAGGGTTGTTCTGGGAGCTTAATTGCTATTGTTCAGGAAAGAATTGGTAAATCTGTATATTGGGTTCTGTGGAGTAAGTGAATCTGTATATAGGGTTTCAAATTCTGGATGTCTTGAATAACTTCTAGGTTTTGAATTTTTTATTGGGTTTGTATAGCTAATCTTTCAGCATCACTCTTAGTTAGGTTTGCTGAATTGGATTTTGGCAACTCGATTAACAAATCCGGGACGTCACAAGATGGGGAAACCACTATTCCACGAGATCCTGCAAAAGCCTGCAACAAGTTGTATAATAGGACTATGCAGTGTAGTTTGGTTTTACATACAGAAGAAAAATATTGCATATGCACATGTTGGTTTGAGTTATGAAACGGCTATTGAAGGCCACCATTGGAGGATAATCACTTCTGCTTTCTCCCACATAAGTGTGATTCATCTGGTTTTCAATATGAGTGCACTTTGGAGTCTTGGAGTGGTGGAGCAGCTAGGTCACATGGGTCTGGGCATTAAATTCTATCTCCATTATACTCTTGTTTTGGTAGTCTTATCAGGGATTCTGGTTCTGGGAACTTACCATGTTTTAATCCAAAAATATAAGCTAGACTATTTTCGAAGAGTGACAGCTGTTGGATACTCATGTGTTGTATTTGGTTGGATGACAATCCTTTCTGTGAAGCAGCCAGCTTCTAAGCTAGATTTGTTTGGGTTCCTTTCGCTTCCCATCAGTTTTGCACCGTTTGAATCCCTCATCTTTACTTCAATAATTGTTCCACAGGCAAGTTTTCTTGGCCATTTATCAGGAATTATTGTTGGTTACTCCATTGCTTGGGGTTTGATCCATGGAATGAATAATTACTGGGCTATTTCAATGCTTGGATGGATCATGCTTGTGTTTATCTTCAGTTTGAAGCGATCAGGTGCCTTTGACTTCACTTTTATTGAGATAGAACCTGTTACAGATCCTTCATTGCCTTCTGTTGGTTTTCTTGTATCCGGAGATGGTAGAACGCTACAGATGAGTACACTTCCATCTGGAGGTTCTGAACTTGTCTAGCCTCTGATTTAGTTCATGTCCTATCCCTTTTAGAAGAGGACTTGGAATCATCCCATATTAATACTGTATGAGGGGTTATTTTGTCAAGATTGCCTGGTCTTGAAATTAGAAGGAGGCTCATGGTTCCTGTTGAGGGAACTGAAATCTGTGGAATACAATAGAGCTCATATGTTGTGATATAAGTGATCTAGTAAAGCTCCTTTTAGTTGGCACTACAAAGACATTCAAGGTCCATCTATCCATCTACAAGCACTTTGAGTATTCCTGAAATGGTACAACTCCTCTATTGTAATCCAGTTGCTTTTCTTCATTTTTTTTTACTCATTTGACAAGTAGATGGGTGCCATTACTGCCATATATGGTATTTATGCTTATAAATCATTTAACTTCTATGGTGCTCCATGTGATATTTGACGGTTGTACTCTTTTGGTTTGTTGGACATGACTGTAATCATTTTAGATGCTACTATTTTGATTATGATGCCTTTGAGGGAAATCCCCACCCCACAACCAAAAGAAAAAAAGAAATTAATGTTGATTTGTGACTGTTACATGTAAAATGCATGCCTATGGAATTTTTTTAGTTGCTCGTATGCTTTTTCTCCTCTAAAGAGTTTAAACTGGGAGATGTCGGCTTGAAATATAGCTAATTCCCTTCCCTGAGTTGCCTGCATCATTTAGGTTGTTGAGGAGGATAAATGGTCTGGTACACCATGCACCAAATACTGGTTATAATAGTTTCTTGACATCAAATTGTTTAATTATAACCATTTCTTTTAACCCATTGAGAATTGTTCATCATCTAAATTAGAATTAAGAAAGTAGATGGCTGAGTAAATATTTTATTTTTCAATTCTCTGATTGATATATACATATTGTTTCTTTAAGTACATAATATATCTGTATCTAGCATGAAATTGGCATCATCTAAGATGTAACAGTTTAAACAAAATTAATGGCCATAATAAAAGCCACCTTTCATTATAAAATGTCTTATAAAGAAGTTCCCATTTTATTGGGATTTGAAAGTTATTCTAGCTATTCTTTGTTACTGATAGAGGGCATATTACAAGCAATAAAGTGCAACTTTTTTCTTTTTTTTTTCTGCCTTTCTTTCCCAATATATAACAAGTTTTCCTTTTAGTTTATTACAATATTGAAGTACTGAGTGTAGAAGCAATCAGTATTTTATTGTCGGATATTCTATTCAACAGAAACACACTTTTCGGTGGTAGTATCACAAAATGCACCTCATTACATAATTGTTGTTACATGAGCACTATAATGTACAACACATTATGCAAAACCAGTGCTGTAATGTTGAACCTGTGGCAGGGTGCAACATCAAAATTGATCATGGAGCATTTTGTAATATTGGTACCTGAAAAATATGATTTTTTTTACCATAGAATTGCTTTTCTGCTATTATTTGTTTATATTTCTGTTTTGATATTTCTCAACACTTTTTTCAAGTATTACTAGAATTGATCATAATGCATTTTGTAATACCCAAAAAATATGATTTTTTTACCTTAGAATTTCTTTTTTGTTATTATTTGTTTATGATTTGTCTATGTTTCTATTTTGGTATTTCTCAACGTTTTTTTCAAGTATTACTGGAATTGATCATGATGCATTTTGTAATGCCAAAAAAATATGATTTTTTTTACCATAGAATTGCTTTTCTGTTATTATTTGTTTATAATTTGTCTATATTTCTGTTTTGATATTTCTCAACACTTTTTTCAAATATTACTGATTTACTTAATGGCGTATGCAAGTTATCCGCCTGTTAGACCTTTCTTTTTATTGACACAACATAATACAACAAGAACTTGTGAGAAAGCAAACCCAATACATAATTAACCCCCAACTGAGATTACAAATGTGCCCAAAACATCTGTTGTCTTTGAACCCCCTGCTTGGTGAGGCTGTCTTCCAAGCTATTAATCCGCCTGGTTAAACCATTCAACCCAAGACTTGAGCAGTTGTTGTCATCCAAGTCAATTTTTTAAAACATTTCTTTCTTGTTGTGATTTCCTTTTGTGGGGTAGGTTGTCATGCTTGGTTTTATCCCTTTGCCTTGGGTTTATCCACTTGCGTTTGTGGGAAAAAATTGGATGTAATCAAATAATCAATTGGTAGGTTTTAAGCATTTTCCTCTTTTTCCTTTGGTAAAACAAGCATTTGCCCCGTATAAATCTATAAGTCTTGCCCCCTGTACATTCTTTGTGATGCTTAGCCCCTTCCAATTCCGAATTGTAACAAATGACCCTTTTTGTCACATTTTCTTTTCAATGAGTTATTATCTATATCTATATCTATATCCATACTACTATCAAAAGTATAATGAGCATGTGGAACTTTTCTTGATTAAAATATTCCTATTTTTTGAATTTGGTCTCTCTCTAATTATGAGGGCAAAAAAATGTAGTTTCTTTTGGTAAATAGCCAAAAATATAGTTTGAACAACTGATCAAAAAAAATATATAGTTTGAACTACTACCTTTCACCTCTTTAAGTCACATATTTAAGGTATTAATTCCCATTCTCTCTCATTAATCTCATATAAGGTATATTTTTCTCACCAATAAGTTATATTAAGTGGATTCATACCCGTTTTAAATACAATTGATAGATGAAATATGATTTATGTTGCTGACCCCATATAGTTGGGATAAGGCACGGATGATGATTAATTAGATCCATGGAGGGGTGGCCACCATCAATTTTATTAAAACAAAAAATAAGTCTATGAGGTAGCGACATAGAAGCCTACCCCTTAGAAAATCTATACAAGAGGAGATTCAACTCATAATAAATAAAAGAAAGGTCCAAAACTCTTTAATAATATAAAACCCATGTTTTTTTGTTTTAAACCAATCCAAAAATGAAATGATTCTTCCCTTTGTTGGTGGTTAAGCAATTCAACCATTTGGATCAAATGGTCTAACCTATGATTTCATAAATAATAATTTTTTTAAAATATAAGTAATTCAAAAATAAAAAATATATATATAGAAAAACTTAGGCACATCTCTATTTTTTTATATTAATCATATTAAAGAAAAATAAGTGTGAAACAATAATTTTTTTTGTTGATGATGAAAATTAAATACAAAAATTGAATTGATGCAAAAAATGAATTTGTTTTCTTGTTTGGTGGTGGCTAGGTCAAAATTTTCAAAAGCAAAGATAAAAGTACAGAAAATTATAAATAAAATAAAAGGGTCCAACTATGATATCCGAAAAAACTTGTGACCAATCAACCAGTGTCATAAACATGTTAACCAATCATATGGTATTTATCAAAATTCACGGATGGGTACATCTCTTATATTATATATTCGCCGTACTAAACAAAAATAAGTATGATAAATAAGAATTATTTTTATATACATAGAAATATGAAAATTTTGTAGAAAATTTTGGAACATATTATTATTATTACCATCATCAAAAATTGATACATGCGAAGCATGTGTACATTTGCTCTAGCATATTCATGTGCATTATTAGACATTTATAAAATCTTAAAATACCCCTATCTTGCTTTAGAAGACAAGTTTGTTATTTATTTATTTTATATTTCTAAGTTGATATTTCTAATAATGATCTTTAAGCCAAAGATGCAAGCTATTGAATTCATGCCTTGAGATTATTCAACCAATCTTGAAAATCTATGTGATGTTCAATGGTTTTAAGTAGTCTAGGCCATGTAAATAGTGATGAAGTAAAAGGCATATCAAATTACCCTAATTCCAGGAAAAAAAAAATTCAAGCTATGTAAATGATGCGCTAAATTAACACAAAGTTTTGGCCTTCAAAGTGGCCTCTTATGATTGCTGCATTAATTTCCCTATTAGGTAAGATTTATGTATTAATTTCAACCATCCAAATCACATACCAAGATCTTAGTCTAGGCCATCCAAGAAAAGTTATACTAAATCAAAAAAAAAAAAAACTAGGCTATTGAAATGTGCCAATATTTCAACTAATCTTAGCCATTCAAGTATGAACCAAATTTAAAAAAATAATAATAATAAAAGATAAAATAAAATCTAACATGGGCGAAGTGATAAACCAAATAATACCTAAATTTTGGATTAGAGTTGTTCACGGGTCGGGTTGAGTCGGTTTACTACGGTTTTTCCAATCGACCCGACCTGGTCGGATTACTTGACATAGAAACCGAAACTGACCCAGTGTTAAGCAAAACCGACTTGGTCGGTTTGAGTCGGGTTGGATTGGTTTCGGTTATAAGTTCATCCCTGTGATAAAATCTTGCTAATTTAAAAAATAGTCATAAATTGAACATCATTTTAGTCATCTCCTATGATAAAATTTAAATAAAAAGTTAATCACAAAAGTTGTTCATTAATCACTATTCACTAATCCAAAGTTTCTTGCAACCATTCAAAAACTAGGTGGCCTAATGGGCTTTGGAACTTCATGTTTGAACTAGGAACTAAGTCGGTTCGGTTCGGGTCRTTTTCGATTTTCTTGTGTGAAAACYGAAACCGACCCGAATCATCGGTTTAGGAATTTGAACAACCTGAAACTGACCCGTGCTGATGAAAACCCAGCCAACTCGGGTTGAGTCGGTCTGGGTTGGTCGGTTTGGTCGGGTTGGGCTTTCTTATGAACATCCCTATTTTGGATCATCAAAATGGCATCTTAAGATCAGTCATCCATCCAAATGATGTATAGAAAAATCAAATTCATATTCTAACCTACCCAATATATTCAATCAACCCAAAAATCTACGCCATCAAGGTGGTTCCTAAAATTAGTGAATCAATCTCAACTATCCGAGTGATGTACCAAAATTTCAACTATCTTGTGTTGTCCAAACTATATACCAAATAACATCGTTGTTCAAGTAATGTAAAAAGGTTTCAACTAATATTGGCCATTCATTTTTTTTTTTAAAAAAAAAAATGAAAGGGGCTATACAAGATGGGGGATAGCACATCCCCAAGCATTAGAAAAACAAATGATCACTAACTACCTGATGAAGTAACCAATTCGTCGCTTGATTAGCTTCACGATAGACATGACAGTACTTGATATTGTGATTCATCTGTACACCAAGACAATGACACACCTCAATGATGTTCCTTAATCTCCACGAAGGGTTCATATTTTGAAGCAAAGAGTTGATGAAGAGCTTAGAATGTCCCTCAATGGTAATAGCCAGATGAAGAAAGATGAAGACAATGTTGTGGGTTTTCCCATGCAGCCCATGCTTCACCATCGTTAATAGAAGTTACGCCAATAGAATACGCTTTTACATTCAGGGCCCTACTGAAACAGTCCCTTGCAATTAGACCTGTTCATGGGCTGGGTAGCCCGACGGCCCGGCCCGCACCCCGGCCGGGCTTGGTCATATAATTAGGCCTGCGGGCTTGACCTCGGGTTTAACACAGTAAGCCCGACTGTGTTTTGGGTCGGGTTCG